TTACTTATAGTCCCAGGACTTCCGGCCCCACGCTGCAGTTCTTTCCATGGCCTGCAGTGTCATTTCAAAGCCCTGGGGTCTGATGATTGCCCGCGTTCCCACCTGGCTCCACAGTCTCCCCTGCTCACGTGTGAGGGCATCCCGGCCTTCCTTGACTCCTGGACACGTGCGGTCTCTGCACACCTAGCCTGCGCACCTGCCACAGCCGTGAGCGGCTCCCTTCCCTGATGCTGCTGCAGGCTGCTCTGGAAGCCTCACGGCACCTAAAGGACCTAAAGCTCGCGGCTCCGACCGACACCTCCTGCGCTCACAGCCTCTCGTCTGCGGCGTCCGCCCGTCCTGCAGGCTGCTGTGGCCCAGGGCTCCGCGCAGCAGATGTCCTTGTTGCCGCAGGACATTGCTAGTCTGGATTTCCCGGGTCACTGCCCTTCCTTCCGATGCTCTACACCTGTTACGGTTTGCCTCTGGACGTCCCGGGCCCAGCAGGCAGGGAAGGCCTGGCCCCTCTGCGGGTGCTCAGAGATGGGGCTCTGGGGGGTGACTGGGTAGTGAGGCTCAGGCTCACAGCAGGTGGATGTTGGGAGGTGGTGTGGACCGGAGGAGGCGGCCCTGCTTGAAGGAGGGTCCCTGGGGGTGTGCCCTGGGGCCTGCATCCCCCGCCCCTCCCTCTCGGCTTCCTGGCCGCCCTGAGCTGCCGCTCTGCCTCCCCTCGGCACCAAAGCCCTGGGGTCACTGGCCAGGGACTGAAACCCAGTACCCTTTCCAGCTCTAGGTTGTCTTCCTCAGGTCCCAGCACGGAGAGCCAGCCACACCCCCCTCCATGGTCACAGTCCCCTCTCAGCCCACCTTCGGAAGCTCTAGGAAGGGATTTTTAGTGGAAAACTTCTCGATATCTCTAGGCTTTATTGGTCTAAAAACTGTATTTACCTAAACTTTAAGACAATGTCTGAATCGTGGGCTGAGGTGTAGTTCAGTGGCTGAGTGCTTGCCTCGCATGCTCAAGGTCCTGGGTTCAACCCCCAGCACGAATAAAAACAAGTTGGAATTAACAATTGAGCCAGGCTGATTCACATGTCACCTCACACGCTTGTGTGTGTGTGTCGTGAACATTTAAAACCTACTCTCGGTAACTTTGAACCATGTTATATCAACTGCAGTTGCCAATCTGTGCAGTAGTTCTCAGGGGCTCATTCTTCCTGTCTCATGAAAACTGTGCCCCTCGCTGATCAACACCCCCAGCTCCCAGGAATCAGGAGTCCACTCTGCTTCTGAGCTCAGTGTTTCCAGACCCGCGGATGCGGCTCGGCTCGGTTCACCTGCTCCCTGTCCTCCAGGTGCGTCCACATTGTCACAAAGGATAGGATTTCCTTCCCTTTTTTTTTGTACTGGGGACTGAACTCAGGGGCACTCCATCACTGATCCACATCCCAGCCCTATTTTGTATTTAGAGACAGGGTCTCACTGAGTTGTTTTAGCACCTCGCCATTACTGGGACTGGCTTTGAACTCGCCATCCTCCTGCCTCCCCAGCGGCTGGGATTACAGGTGTGCACCACGCGCCTGTCAGTTTTCTTCCTTTTTAAAGAAAGTTCTGAAATATTCATGGTGTGTGTGTTCCGCGTTTTCTTCACCCACCCATTCACTGGTGGATGCCTGGGCTGATCTGGGAACAGTGCTGTGGTGACTGGGGGGTGCGCAGCCCAGCTGTCTCTGCCACCTGCTGCCTGCCTTTTCTTTGGGTGTACGCTCCACAGGGGGCGGCTGCATGGCACAGCACAGCACAGCGGCTCTTCTTTAGGTCTCTGCAGGGGCCTGCATGCTGTTTTCTACCCAGCTGTGCTAGCGCACATTCCCAACAACCACACGAAGGCGCCCTTCCTCCACACTGGCCTGTGGTCCTTTCAGCAATCACCATCCTGACAGGTGTGTGTGTGTGTGTGTGTGTGAGAGAGAGAGAGAGAGAGAGAGAGACGGTTAGTGACACTGAGGATTCCCCCCTGCCCAACCCTATGGACCATTTGTATGTCTTCTTTTGATCCATTTTGATCTATTCAGAGCCATGGCTCAATTTTAAATTAGGCGATTTGTTTTCTTGCTATTGAGTTGTTTTCTAAACTTCAATTACCTGAAAATGTTATTTTGCACTCACTTTTGGAAAGACTGAACAATTCTTAGTTGTCAGTTATCCTCTGAGCACTTACTTTAAAGACACCATTTTTTTTAAAAAAAATATTTTTTAGTTGTAGTTGACACAATGCCCTTATTTTATTTATTTATATACATGTGGTGCTGAGGATCGGACCCAGGGCCTCATCCGTGCTCAGCCAGCGCTCTACCGCTGAGCCCCAGCCCCAGCCCTAAGGACACTATTTCATTCTCTTCTGGTTTTCATTGTTGCCCTTGAAATTCTGCTGTCAGCCTAACTGCTGTCTCCTTGGGACTTATTTTCCTTGGAGGAAGGTCCCAAAGGTTCCCTTTGGCCTGCAGTTTCACTCTTTTGTACCTGGGGCAAACTTTCTTTCCATTGTTCTAGTTAGTATACTTATGTTCCCTGTGGAATCCTGCCTTTCACCAGTTCTGAAATATTTTTTAATAAGAGTCTACCCACACAGCTCTTTCCTTGGAGTTCCAGCTGGGTTTCCCTTGGCTCTCTGCATGCTATCTTTTATGTTTCTTTTACACTTTTAACTTTGCCTCATTCCTTGTGCCACATTCTTGATAATTTCTTTAAATTTTTCTTCCAGGTCACAAATTTCCCTTTCAACTGTGTCTAACTGACTGCCTAACCCATCTACAGGCTTCTTTTCTAAAACAACAGCTGTACTGAGATACAATTCACATCTATTTTTAGAACATCTTCATCACTCCAAAATCCCAGATTCTTATCATTTTCATTTATTAGCAATGCTAATGAGCAGCCCCTCTCCTTCCTCCCTCCCTCCCCCAGTACCAGGCTCCACTAATCTATTTTCTGCTTCTGTTGGATTCTCCAATTCTGGAGATTTCATATAAATGTAAAGATACAATATATAGTGGGGTGTGGGTGTGAGAGACACATACACTGGCTTTTCATTTAGTGTGATTCTTTCAATGTTTCTCTGACTTTTCCATCTCATTTCTAAAGATTTTATTTTTTCCAGATGGACATTGGTCATCAAGCTTGACAGTGCCTTGTTCCATTCTTTAATATATCTTAAGAATGCTGAGAAGATTGACTCTATCTTTCCATATTTCCAGTGTAGTGAGTATTTGGGGATTTGAACCTACTGCGACCTTGTTTCTGTTGAGTGTTACTTTGTTTTCTTTGGATGCAGCTAATTTTATTATTCTGACTTCATGGTTGGTCAGGTGAGTCCTGTGAACCAGTCCCTGCACCGGGGGTTGCTTACCTGCAGAGATGTCACACTTTTGTTTTTGGCCGCTGCTGTGGGCCACTCTGGTGCCCTTGGCGGCTCAGCTTTTTACGGAGTCTCAGGCCCAGCCCCCTTCCTACCCCACTGCCCATACACTTTGGGGGTTTTGTTGCAAATGCTACCCCAAATCGGCAACCGTGTGGGTATGCTTGGCTATAGCTTCCTACAGATGGAGCTGCATCTCTGAGCTGAAAAGAGGTACTTTGACCACCTTATGTGGGTACTAGAGAATGTACCCCTGAGAGCAGCCCTTGATGACTCCCTGGATTGCTGAAAAAATACTGCAGCTCCTCACCTGTGGGGCGAGAGCACTCAGGTTTGTTTGATGTCATTTTTCAGTACTTCTCCCTGTGACAAGGCTCCAGGCCCCACTCTGGTACTCTGCTCAGAACCACACCTTTACTGGCCTCCCTCCCTGCCCTGGACCACTGAATGCTAATCTCTACCCCAGTTACGCTCCCTGCACCTCCAAATACAGCTTGCCCTGGAATCCTTGCCCCAGATTCTGTCTCTGCAGAATCCACACCAAGACCCAGGATCTCTGTCATGTGCAGGTCTGGATTCTGCCCAGGGCACCTGTGGCCTCCATGTCTGCCCCCTCTCAGCAGCAGGCTCTGGGGCTCCTGTTTACTCATTTATTGAAATTCCTCTTACTTTCTTGAGAGCTCTGTAATATTTTCAAAAGTGCTGTGCTTGAGCTGTGACCTAGTTCTTGCTGTCTGCACCTTCTAAATCCTGACTCTTCCTCCAGGTGTCAGTTCAAGATCACATCCTTGGAGAAGCTCTCTCCCACCCAAATGCAAATCCCGGTCCTCTTAAACTCTTGTCCATCTCTTCTTTGCCTACAGTCCTCCAAAGCTACACAGAGGAGGAGCACTGAGATGTTTAGCTGCTGCAGCCCGATATTGCCTGTGTCACCTGGTCAACTGTGTGACCCTGAGCTGGGAGCTCAACCTCTGTGCAGGTATGATGGAAACGGTCAACAACCCTGCAGAGTAGGGTCGTTGTCCATCGTACTGAATAGCATACACCAAGTTTCTAGACTAGGAGGAACACATAGTATGTGCTCAATAAACATTGACTCAGCTGGTCACATCTTACAAAGATACAGTACTAGTGACAACCATTTGTCTAGGGTAAGACTCGGGAGGACAGAAACCTACCTCTATCTTCTCATCGCGTTTCCAGCGCCAACGCAAGCGCTAGAACAGTGGCACTTTTTCTAGCCAAAAGAATGAAAGGAGGTCTAGAAGGACCGACGGTGGCTTCTGGCTTACCCAGTGCGGGGCTGAGACCGATTCCAGGCACAAGGGAAAGCCGGTCCAAACCCGCGCTGCCTCGCCAGGATTCTAGCCTTCCGGGTGTGGGTGTGGCTGGTGACAGAAGTCCCTGGGGTTCGGGCTGGGGCTGAGGGTGGGGGTCTTCTCGAGGCCCCGAGGAGAACTGCCTGGAGCAATAGGAAACGAGGACTGGGTTGGGAGGGAGGGGCCCCACGCTGGGAGGCTGAGCCGGCGGTGGGTGACGGGACCTGCACGGAGCACCGCGGCTTTACCTCCCTCCCTCTGCGTCTTTGTGCGCTTCTCTTCCTTTCGCAGTCGACGTTCTTCCGAGAATTTCCAAGGGGATCTCAGCCAAGCGGAGGGGGAAGGGATCCTGCCCACGCCTGGGTAGGGGGAGGTGGGGGCGGGGATGGGGGGTGGTGGGGGAGGTGCACCGGGCCGCGGTGGTGGGCGCGGGAACCCGAGAGGGCGCGCGCGGCCCGGGCCAGCGACCTGCCGCGGGGCCGCGAGCCCCAGGCGCCCCCCCGCCCGCGCGTCTCCCCGCCGCCCCCGCCCCCCGCGCGGCCCCCGCCCCGGCTCCGCCCCGCCCCTCGCGCGGGGTCCGCGTCTGCGGCTGCGTTCCCCGAAAGACGAGGCTGCGCCCGGGTTCCGGTCCGCAGGGAGACCGAAGGGCACCACTCCCCGCGCCGCGCACGCCGCCCGAGCCCGGAGTGCGGACACCCCAGGGATGTGAGTGCGCCCCCCGACCCCGAGGCCCGCGCTCGACGCCCTGATCCGCGGTGAGCGCCAAGGCGCGCGCGCGGGAGCCGGGGGAGGGGACCAGGCGCGGGGTTCCCGGCCCCCCAGCCCAGGGGTAGGGGTGGGGACGAGGCGCGCACCCCTCCCCTGTCGGCAGGTACGGTCCGCTCCCACCTCCTCTTGTCGTTCCTGACCCGACGCACTGACAGCTCCCCAGGGAGGAGAGACGCCCCCCTCCCCCGTACCCGCTGCAGGTGCCGGGCCCGGGGTGGGTGCAGCTTGGGTGGTCACCTCGCTGGAGAGGGCAGACCTTTTCTCCCTGGCGGGGAAGCTGTGATGGTGGACGCGCTGGGGGATGGGTGGGGGTGGGGCTCGGCGAGCTGCTGGCCGACCCCCAGCTTTGGATTTCTGGGAGGAGGACTCATCCCGAGGCCAGAAAAGGGGAGGGTCCCTGCGCCTCAGCCAACGGCTGGGTCTCCTGACCGAGGCTTCTCCCCGCAAGGCCTGCGCCCCAGAAGACCCCCACCCGTAGCCCCCGCGCCTCCCCGAGGCCCGCCCGGAGCATGCTGCCCGCAGCCATGAGGAGCCTGGGCCTGGCGCTGCTGGCCTTGCTGCTGTGTCCCGCGCCGGGTGAGTTGGGGTCCGTGGGGCAGGGGCAGGTCACCAGAATATCCGAATCCTCCAAGGGTTCGGTTCTCACCACGCCCCTTCCCAGCCCCTGCGACCCCAGGCGGCCCTTGCCGCTTGGCAGTAGCCACGCGGGTCTCTCCCAGCCCCCGACGGCACCAGGCACCTTTCCTCCGGGCTGCTGGTCCTGCGTGGGTACTCCTCGCTGCCCAGTTGTCCGGGTTCTCACACTTCTTCTCTTCCCAGAGCCCCACCGGGCTACCCACCAAGTCCTCTTTGGGCCTTAATAGCTTGGGACCCACCCAGCTCTGAGGGTGTCTGTGAGGCGGGGCAGGAGTGTGCAGGACACGGGGTGTGGCTTGCTCATTCCTGTCCAGTGGGAGCTGGAGCCACCTCTGTGGGCGTGGTTCTGCCAGGAGGGCAGGTGGGGATGGAGGGGACACAGGACCTGGCTGGTCAGGCTCCAGTTCCTCTGGTCATCTTGAGCCCTGTGCTCTGCCCAGCTCATGGCCTGTGGTGCCAGGACTGCACCCTGACCACCAACTCCAGCCATTGCACCCCGAAGCAGTGCCAGCCATCGGACACTGTGTGTGCAAGTGTCCGGATCACCGACCCCAGCAGCAGTAAGTTGGGATCAGGGTGGGGGTGAGGTTGTTGAAGGCAGACTCTGGGGAGAGGTCAGAGGTGTGGTTCTCCGAGCCCCCCTGGGCTGGGATGAGTACGGGTTTGCGGGTAGGGTGCAGCCCAGCTTTTCCCTCCTTGGCTCCTTAGGACCCCTTTCTCTGTAGATCCCAGCTTCGGTGGGTTGAAGGCCTCAGCTCTGTGGCCCTGGCCCCAAACTGACCTGGAGGGTCTTGGGGACAAAGCAGAGGGTCCAGGTGGAGCTCCAGTCCCAGTCCCTTGTCTCTCCAGGCAGGAAGGATCACTCCGTGAACAAGATGTGTGCGTCCTCCTGTGACTTCGTCAAGCGGCACTTTTTCTCAGACTATCTGATGGGGTTCATTAACTCTGGGATCTTGAGAGTCGACGTGGAGTGCTGTGGGAAGGACTTGTGCAACCAGGCAGCCGCTGTGGGGTGCAGCCCCTGGGCCCTGGCTGGGGGGCTCCTGCTCAGCCTGGGGCCTGCCCTCCTCTGGGCTGGGCCCTGAGGTCCCTCCTTCCCGCAGGGTTCTGAGCTTGTTCCCCTGAGTCCGGCTGGCACTGCCTCACCCCAGGCTGGTCTGACCCAGGCGGGGACACCACTGGCCAGTACTGTGGTCTGTGGCTCTCACCTTCCCTATGTGAGACCTCCTGCCTTTTCACCAGCTCCATGTCCCAGGCAGCTGGATTTCTCCAGGACACCTGGTGTCTGGGCAGGAGGCTGGGGACTGGGGGTGAGGGCAGGAGCTGGGACCCCAAGGTCCCCTAGGGGAAGTGAGGCCAAGCCAGGCACAGCCCAGAAGCCTGGCCTGAAGGGCATCGTCTACAGAGAAATAAAGTCACTTCTGAGTCCTGAGGCTCGGGTCTGAGCCTGGGTGTGATGGGCGGGCAGGTCCTGGCGGAGAACATGGAGGGGCTCAGATAGCAGTCAGGTGGGGGCATCTGTCACCTGTGGTGTCACCACAGGGATCAAGGTGGTGGGTGGGTGTACTGGGCTGCCTGAAGCTGCCCTGAGTGGGGGCTACTTGGGCCTAGTGAGGATTGGGAGCAGTGGGCGTGGGGGGCTGAGGGTCAGGATGAACAGGATCACAGGGTGGGATAAAGGTGGGGTGTGGGAACCCTGGTGCACCCTCAGACACCAGGGTGTACACAGCTGCACGTCAGCACACACACAGACAGCAGCGTGTGCACACATGGCCAGCGTGCACAGATGTTCCCCCACACCATGCCCACAGACCACGCACCCTGGATCCTCGACAGTGCTCACACCCCGCTCAGCCACAGGTGTCTGCTGGTATAGGCACCAAGACATCCCCACAGCACCAGTTCAACCTGGTATGTCCCAGTGCACACTCACGTGAGCGTGCCTGGGTTCACACCCACCCTTGAGTGCTATGTTCTATGTGCATGTGGACACTCATCACCTCTTGCTCCCAGCCACTCTTTTGGGGTCCCTGGATGGTGAGGCTCTGGGATGGCTGAGAGCCCCTGGAGCTGCTGCAGGCCACATGAGCCCTTGCTGGGTATCTGCAGCTCACCTACCCTCAGTTGGGATTGAGCATGGATGGAGTCCTGTGGCCAGGGCATGAGGATGCTATACCTCCTGTGGGCTGGCACCTGTGCCAAGGGACAGGGAGACCCACCCAGGTAAATCAAGGTGCCCTCCTAGGTCTTCCATGCCAGCTGGGGGTCTCAGATCTCATCCATGACTCCAGTCCAGCCCAGCCTCCCGCCCCCTTGAGCCCCTGTGCCAGACGCTCCATGGGGTTCATCTCGTGGCCCAGGCTTACAGCATGCTGCTTCTCTTCTCAGGAGGCCGCCAGCTGTGGGGATGTGCTCTGAGCCCATTTTCACACAAGTCTTTGGAATTTGGCTAGTGCTCCCTTGTGCCACCTGTAACTGACCTGGACTTCCTGCCAGACTGTCCTGGGTTCCCAGAGACAGAAGTGGTTCCTGTGGGATCTGGCCTCAGCTTTGCTCCCAGAGGCCCTGCAGGAGTGTCGGAGGGGACCAAGGTGGGGCGGGGCCTCCAGTCCCTGCTGGACAGTGACACTGGCTCCGTGCCGTGGCACAGCCTAGGGACTTGCCCCTGGAGAGCCGTCGCCCCTTTCCATTTGAATTCTGCTCTGCTGCCCTGTTTTGGACCCCTGCTGCCCCCACCCTTCAGTAACATGTGTGGCCCCCTCAGGTGCCTGGTGTTTTGTGGGTGCTGGGGATCCAGCTGGTGCGGGGGAGGATGTGCAGAGAATCTCCGGAACCCAGGGGCAAGATGCTGCGGCCGGGGAGCCCTGGAGCAGGGTGGTGGCAGCTCCTGGGGAAGCCTGGAGCTGGGCCGTGGAGGCCCCCGGCTGTGAGGATGTGCTCTGAGCCCGCGTCCACAGGAGTCTTGGTGTGCTGGATTTATTGTTTGAGAGAAGCATCTGAAAACAAAAGGGAGTGAAATTCTCCCAACTCTTTGAAGATGTGAAATTAGAAGGGAGCCTCCGATTCCCACCTGAGGGACTCCCGAAAGAGGGGCAGCAAGCTGAGGGGACCCCACAGGGGACGCCAAGTGGCCGATCTCCCTAAGCTGGCGTGCTCCCTGGAGTTTAAGCCGGTCCTGCCGACAGACTCCGCTGCCTGAGGAGCCTCCGTCCTCGGGCCAGCGCTGGCCCACGGGGCCCTGGGTGCTCTTTCCCCAGCAGCTCCAGCCGCCTCTTCCCAGGTCAGTGCCTCTAGGTCGACCTTTTGTCTCCGACCTCTGCTGAGCTCCCTGGGACTGCGTGGCTGCTGCGCTTACTGAACCTCCCTTACTGCTGGGCGTAGGGGTTTGTTTTCAGGGGACCACCTGTGTCCTCACAGCGCTGTGGGCCAAGGGACACATCTGCAGGATTGATTCCCTGAAGTGGAAAGCTGAGCCAGAGAGGAAACCTTACTGGGAGGTAGGTGCTCCAGCGAGGCCATGTTGGTTGAATTCTTCGCACCCTCTGTGGCCAGGGCTCGCCACCTTCGGCCATTCTGCCCTTCAGCGGACAACAAGAAGCTCACTGTGATCCGTGTAGAGAGTTGTGGGTGCAGCCGAAGGACTCCATGATGGTTAGCCACTGTGATTCCCCCATGCAGCCTGCCCCACCCTTGCCCGTCCCACTCTGGCCTTTGCTCTTGTGTATCAGGGACTCGGGTGTCCCCAGGTCGTGTGGTGCATGACCCTCGGTGCATTGCTGTGTCCACCACCTGAATGTCCGCTGTGCTCAGAGGTCGCGCACGGCGGTCATCGTCCTCTGTGTTCAGGCTGTGCATCTCAGGACCTCTTCCACCCTCCTGCACAGTCTCTGGACGCTCCAGAAGGTTGCAGACCTGGTTGCTGCATTCAGACGTCCAATCCATGGCAGAAGGGCGGCTATTCTCTCAAGTGGCCCCCTTTTTCTCAGCGCCATTTATTAAATAATGCACCTTTCCCCGATGACTTAAAACGTCAGCTTTGTAACGTGATGTGTCCTGCCCCAGGGTGCCTCTGGCCCGTCACCCGTGGGGGCCCCGTGTCGTGCTGTGCTTCTCCGGCTGTGACAGCGTTCATAGCCTCTCAGGTCCTGCTCAGGCCCGTGCCCTTCCGCCCGCTCCTCCCGCCTTATTCTGGAGGTGACTCAGGCCAGGCCCGGAGCGCCCATCTGATGGGCTGGACCTGGGTTGGCGCCCTCCCTGGGCGCCTTCCTGCTCCCTCCCCGCAGCGCCTGCGCGGCCTCCCTTGCCGCTCCGCTCCCCTTCCTGGGGCTTGGCACCTTCTTGATACATTGTTGCTGGTGACTTGTAGCTTTCCCGGGTTTTATAAATGGGATTTCCTCCTTTCCTTCTCCTTTAACTGGTTGTTTCTGGGGTGGGAAGCTGGTGTTTTGACTCTCTTGGGGACATCTGTTCCTAAGCGTCCCACCTCACTCAAACGGGAATGAGGGGGCTGCTTGTGTAGGGGAGCAGGTGGCAGGGCAGGCAACTTGGGTCTCTGGTCTTCATCTTCCAGAATCCCAAATCCACCTTACCCTGGCTTTTCTGAGGAACAGGGAGATCCCCAGGAAGAGCCTCACAGACATTTCAAAATCAGGCCTGGGTGCAGGGGGACTTCCCTCAACCCAGGAGGAGGCACCCTGAGCAGGTGGGGAGAGGAGAGATGAGGCTGATGGGCTCAGAGGTGCCCAGCTTCCTGGGAAGTGCTCCTGGGGGTGGAGGCCTGGGGAGTGACAGTGTGGAGGGCACAGGTGGCATCCAATGCCATAAGTAGTAGCTTGGCCAGCAACAAGGGGCAGCGAGGCCACACAAACTAGGGCGGAGGTCATTTTGGCGGCAGCCTGTGTGGATGGGTGGTCAGCACCATGGTGTGAGTAGACAGCTCTGTCCCTGCTCCCTCGTCCCCAGTTGGATGCCGCCCTGGGGAGAAGATGTGGAGTGTGCTCCGTCCACCGAGATGGGTTCCTGCCCAGAGAAAGGTGGGTCTGGAAATAAAATGGCAGGGACATCACCATGTGTTCCTTTTCTGGCCGCATGGTGGACTCTGTGCACTGTCCTCTCTGGTGTCCACCCCTGTGTGTGCCATGTCCTCTCTGGTGCCCACCCCATGGTCTGCCTGCACTGGGCTGGTGTGGGAGCATGGTGCCCAGCTGACCTGGCTCCACCCTACCTGTTCCAAGTCACATGGCCAAATGCTAGGGGCTGAGAGGCTGCAGAATGAAGTCCCCAAATTCCAGAGGGGAGCAGGGTTCACAGTGCAGGAGCTGAACTGCAGAGAATGTCTGGGTAATTGAAGTAGCTGCAAGTGACATCACCCCTGTGCGGAGGAGAGCCCCTGTCCCCGAGCCCTGCAGCCCTGCAGCAGCACCTGTTAGGTTTTGAGGGGTGCACATGGCACCTGCAGATGAGCAGCTCTGTCCTCCCATTCTCCTTTGGGCTTCAGGTCACTGCCTGCTTTGCAGAGCGTGGCTGAATGAGGACTGGGCCGCGGGTCTCTTCACAGAAGGCTTTCCTGCACACCAGGAGCTGTTTGCTGTTGTGCTTGCAAATCTGTCTTTATTCAATTTAGACTATTTATTCATATTTCAATTATATTTTTAAACTCAGGAATGGCTGATGGATTTAGAAGAAACCCCCTTTGTCATCTGTTGATACAGCCAAGTATTTTCTCTGCTTCATGAAGAGCTTGTACAGTAAGCTGCTTTGCCAGCCACCTTGGCCCTGTGACCTATGATTCTTCCACCCCACTGCCACATAGGACGTGTGCTTCGTGGGACGTCTAGGGCACCTTCAAGTGAGACCTGCTGTAGTTCTCCTCTGACATCTTCACTGGAGCAAAGAGTCCCACAGCCTTGCAGAGCCCCAGGCGTCTCTGCCTCCCCCGCTCAGGAATGGTCTCCCTGCCCGGAGAAGCTATCACCAGCAGGTGCCCTGTGCCCCCCTGCTCTCTCTGTTGTCGCTGGTGCCGGCCTCCTCCCAAGTGCTGGGAGACCACATCCATCTCCCCTTCTTTGTACCCAGTCATGTCCAGTTCTAGGTCTTGTT